CCACGAGTCTACCCTTATCCTTAAAATCTGAATCTGCAGTTAATTTTAGGGTTCACTGTTAGTGTTCTCCATCTGATGGGTCTATTCAAATGTGTAGGGTATTTACTGTTGCATTTATGTTTGTTCTTAATTGTTTGTTAATACTCCATATTCAGAAGTATTTAGGAGATGATTATAGGAAATTTATAATCCAAATGTTACACTTCTTTAATTTCTACTTCTGAAATCCTATACATGAAAAATAGTTTTAAATTAGTATGGTTATTTTGTGTGTACTAACATTAGAGTAAACTTTTAATTTTTTAAGTAAATGTGTTAGACGTAGTAAAAGAATATTACTACATGGTTGTATTACTGAAAAGTGATTTTTGTGACTAAAAATAAAATTTTAAGTCACTTAACAGTTATTATCTTCCCACTAAAGTATGTAATTTGTATTGTTCTGTATAATGTCCTACTCTGGTTTAGGAGGTGATATCTACACACTGTTACTGTGTTTTTGAATTATCTCCAATTGTATACTAAATTTCTGTATCATGGTATTAGTAGGTTCATTAACTTTCTTTAAATAATACCTTTTTCTTTGTTTCTTTGTTTATTCTCTTTTTTTTCTGTTCCATTGTCTTCCTTTTTGCAGTGGTTGCCACTGAACCCGAGACTCCACTCAAGTCAGGCAAGTGCTCTACCACAGAGCTGTACCCTTTTCACTAAGAACTTTGTTTTTTATGTCTGGCTTAGGTTCGCAGCAAAGTTGAAAGGAGGATCCAGAGGGCTTTGATTGATCATGTCCCTCTCACACAAAGTGTTTTGCTTCCCTCCATGGCCAGTGCCCGCTCCTAGAGGAGTACCCTTGTTACAGATGATGACTTACAGTGGTCCATCGTTACGTTATCATCTAACGTTGGCAGTTAACATTAGGGCAAACTGTTGGCGTTCTCCATCTGATGGGTCTGTTCAAATGTGTAGTATGTTTACTGCTGCATTTATATTTGTTCTTGTTTTTTCTTAATACTGCAGAATTCAGAAGTATTTAAGAAATTAAGTATAGGAAAATTTTTAATCCAAAATACTCCATTTATTAATTTTTACTTCTGAAATCCTATACATGAAAAGAGTGTTAAATCACTATGTTTACTGTCTGTGTAATAACATATAATAAAGTTTTAATATGTTAATAAATGCATTAGACTTAGTAAATAACATATTACTACATGACTTTATCACTGAGAAGAGATTTTTGTGACTAAAAACAAAATGTTAAGTCACTTATACATTATTTTCCCACCCAAGTTTGTAACTTATGTTGTTCTCTGTATTTTCCTATTCTTCAGTTTAGGAGATGATATCTAGTCTGTGCTACTTTGATCTTGTAATTATCTCCAGGGGTATACTGAGTTTCTGTATCTTCTGCAGTACTGGGTTCAGTAACTATCTTTAATTAAGAGCTTTGTTTCTTCTCTTTTATTTTTATGCGTTCTCTTTTCCAGGGATTGGTAGACCTGGCACTCCACTCATGCAAGGCAAGTGCCCCTCCACTGAACTGTACCCTTTGCACTATGAACATTTTTAAATATCAGGCTTAAGTTCACAGCAAAATTGAAAGGAAGATACATAGATTTCCAGTAGATTGTGTGCCTCTCACACGAGTTGCCTCCCTCCATGGCCAGTGCTCTCCTCTAGAGTAGTACACTTGTTATAGACGATGACTTACACTGGTCCTTGGTTCCCATCCAAAGTCTGCATTTAACACTAAGTTTCACTGTTAGCATTCTTCATGTGATGGTGGGTTGAAATTTGTTATGTGTTTCCTTTAACAGTGTCATGCCTCAGGCAGCTCCTTTGTGCTATTTGTTCATTGCCTCCCTGGACCACCCACCAATACTGCAACCACTGAACTTTTCATTGTCCTGGCAGTGATGATTTTAGCAGATCTGCACCATCACTGAAATGATACAGTGGATAATTTTTGAAGATTAAAAGCAATAACCGTTCAAGCTAACTGAATTGTAGCCAATAAAGCTGTTACTTGAACTGCCTTTTTTCCTTTTGTTGGGGATGTTGCTAGGGACTGAAGCTAGTGCTTTGGCCATTCCAGGTAAATGATTTACCATGGAGCTATACCTCCAGCCTTAGTTTTTGTGTTTTTGATGCTTGTATGAATATGCGCTTGATGATGTGCTCCACATGCTGAGCTGGCCTGCTTTCTATGTGGATTCCTCATCATGAGGAGGGTTGAGAAAAGTGACATCATGCTGAACTTCAGAGCATGAACTGCACCACCTTGTTCTGTTGGGTCCAGACAGAACCTTTGAGAATGGAAGGAGACACTGGCGAGTGCTGTGCTTCTCAAAGTGCCTCAGGTCTTTCATTCTTACTGGAGATGAGAAGTAAGATGAGGGAGTAATGAAAGCTATAGGTGAGTCAAAATGCTCCTCTTCCTTTGAGTGCAAGTCATGTTATGTTAGTAAAACATGACCGATTTTATCATTATTATTATTGGTCCTCACTCCTTCAGTACTAGGGACTCAGTGGTCTTGTGCGTGCTGTGCACACATGTTTACCACTGAGTCCAACCACAGCCCTGACTTTGTATGAATAGATTCTCTGTCATGGGAAATCAGAGGCTTTTGGTTCTTTGTGTTGTTTTGTTTTTTTTTCCCAAAGTTTACAGGACGTAAAATTTTGTCTTTCACTTGTCTTAGAGGCTCAGTGAGTTAGTGGTTTCATTTGTATGTTTTCATTATTCCATGTAAGATAGTGCTCCCTGGCAGCTGGTTGCAACCTCCCCGGTGCTGGCTTTTAAGCTTTTCAGACTGGACCAGCTTGTAAGGGCTTGAGCTCTGAAGTGGTTCTTTCCATGGGAAGTAAGATAGCAGATGAACTTGAGCCCTGTTTGCATCACACATATGACAGAGAAACCGGGGAGAACTAAGGGAGCTCCTTAGCATCTTCCTTAGGAGAGGAATAGCAAGAGTAAGTGCACAGACTTCTGAGCTCTTCTCCACTGAGAGCTGGAAATCATTGCAATGGTGCTTGTTTCAGGTGTGCTTCCCATATTTTGCCATGCTGCAAATTAGAATGCCCTTTACAGCTTCCTTGAGCTAAAGTATTTCCTCTTCAAACTCAACAGTTCCAACTGAATGCTACAGCAGCTGCATTGTGTCTTAAGAAAATAAGTATATCTTTTATGATCGTTCCTAGTGTCACTACTCTAGGAAAGTCATGCTCTTTGTTTGCCATGTCAGCTTATGCCAGCAATACTGCTAATGGTACCATTTCTGTCAATATAATACCTTCAGGTAGGATGTCATTGTGCACAGCACTTTGCTCATTTAGCTATCAAATGTAAATAAATTCTCTTCTTCCCTGTATTTCTTATAATAATAGGAAGTGAGAATTCTTAATGCATTGCTTATCAATAGCATAATTAATACTGATTATAGAATGGGCTACAGATGCAGCCCAAAAGACTATTTTGTGTCAAAACATCAGAGTTATACTTTTAATAGTTTATATTTTTGTTAATTCAAAATATATTTTACCTTTTTCTTGAATAGTGTATGATATTTCTGAAGATGACTCTCTAATCAGGTAAGAATATATAGATTTTTAAATATCATACAGTGACTAATTAGTGAATGCAGAAAAGAAACCAATTGTTTTAGTGTTCTGTTCCAGGCCAGACAAAGTACTTGTGCTGTTTTAATCCAGTTTTATTAATTTGGCTGCTTTTATGAATGGAGGTTATTTAAATGGTCCATGGTCTCATAATTAAGAAGTAACTGACCCATGTGTTGACTGTTAGCCTGCCTGGCTCCCAGATGCCTTCCATTACCCTCTGCAGTGCTGGGATCCAAATGCAGGTCATTTAAGATGAGTGTAGAAAGTCACCATAAGGGACATGTCAAGTCTGTTTAGTTTTCCTGAGAAGTTGGTGAGTTTATTCTAAAGATAATGATTGAATTGATAGCCAGTTTCTTGTTTTTACCAGTATAGGATTTAGGGAAGATGTGGTAGTTAAGACTATCTTTATGTAAATCATCTTATATTATTTATGTTGAGGGTTTATTGCAATGACATTTTTAATGCATGTGTCTATTCACCAATTTCCCAGTTTGGTTTTCCTTTCAGGCTATTACTACTGCCTAGTTCTATGATTTTTTTCCTCTTAAGTAAAATATTTTCTTGACTTTTTAAAAAATTTTTCTTCTACTTGGTATTTTTTTTTTATTTCTGCTGCCTTAGTATTTTTTTTTAGTACCAGAAATCAAATCTCACGACTGCATTCTTGCAAGGCAAGTGCTTATGCTGCTTAGTATTTCTTATTGTTGTTTAGACAGAGTCAAAAACAAGTAAACTTTCAGGTTCTAAGAAATCTAAGAGACCAATAAAAATATCCTCTAGTGCTCAACCTGTGTAACATTCTAGCCACATGGTTGAATCATAGAGAATTTGACGTACAATGATATTAAAGTGACTTATCTGAATATAGTTCATGACAAAATGAGGTTGTATTCAGGTTTTACATTTGCTGTGTCTGGTACTCTTTGTCATGTCTCCTTCTGTGAGTTCCATAATAGAAGAGAGGAGGAAGTCCAGCATGTCCAGTGGGAGATCATGAGAGTGGAATTCACAGGGGAAGGGCATGTTGGAAGGACAACATTGGGTGGGGCAAGACTGAGGTCTTACAAATCAGAATATAGAGGTTTGTCACAAGTCTGATAAAGATAATACAGAAAATGAAGCCCCAGAATACTGAGAATTATCCTGATAAATGTATTAAAAGTGTGGATTCAAAGGAGTTCTGAAGAGATTTTTGCTTTTTTGTTCAGTCGGAGGAATAGCGAAACTTAAAAATTGGTATTAGATTAGTTAGGGTAATCTGAGCCACCTGGAAGTCTCTAGAGCATGAAGGAATATCCCATGCCCTCCTTCCTACTCAGTTCATGGAGGGTGGCTTAGGCCTCTGACTCCACTGGGGACCAGAAGCAGCTGAACTTCATGGGCCTGTTACCCAGGACAGGTGTCCCTCATTTCCACCTCTTATGTAAGGTAGGCCTGCAAGGCAGATGTGTCCTCTTGATAGGTGGTACCTTGCTTCTGCTGAGGGCAGGTGATTGTGACACAAATACTTCTTTTCAGGAGCAGCTGCTCTAAAAAAAACATCCTTTTTTTTAGGAATCTGTGCCTTCTTAGGCTGAAGATTTAAGTGAACACTGATGTGGAGCCCCACCATGAGAAACCCAGAAGGAAGAGCACTTACAAAATGACATTAGACTAGATTTATAATAACAGAGGAGCAGCTACCAGGGTTGATTTTCCAGCCAGCTCCTACTTGAATGTCAGAGTGTCTGTGAAAGTTTCACCACTTTATGTGTAGGTGAAAAAAGCAAAGGCATACAGGAAAAACAATTGGGTTTTATCATTTTAATAGTTTAATTTCCCAGGGAAGAAATTGACCAACACACACACACACACCCCCACACCCACATCCACCCACCCACATTTTTCTTTGATTTTTGTACTTTTAACCTTCAAATATTTTACAGTTTCAGAGGACTCTCTGTGTTGATTTATGCTAAATGATACTAACAGAGTTGTCTCAGTGTAAGGGGCATCCATACAGAAAACAAAGACTGCCATTCCTGACTTACTCGGCATCTTGCTGACTTTCAGTAACTTTGGCATTAATGGGGCAAAATGCTCAACCCTAACAATTTAAAGGAGGAAAGATTCATTCTGACTCAGGTAAGAGGCTCCAAGGCAGAAACCACTTGGCAGGGAGACAAGGTGGAGGAAAGCTCCTTAACACACAGGCAGGGAGCAGTGAGAGGGCTGAAGAACCAGGGGTGAGAATTTACCCTTGCAGGTCAGAACCCAGTGGCCTTCCTCAGAGCAGACCTCCCACCTAAGAGCACAATGAGCTACTGAACTTGCAGATGGATGAGGACATGCTGAAGATGGGGTTCCCATGGTCCAAACACCTTCCACACACAGGATAATGAAAGGGGACACTAGATTAGAACCATCACATCCAGCTTAGTCATTGAACCAGAGACAGAGCAGGGAAAGGGGACGGTGTATTTTTCCACCTTGAGGTTACCAGGCTTGTTTGAGTCCAGGTAACAACTTTTGTTTGCTATTATTGCATTTTTCACTTCAGCCTTCAGAGCAGGCAATTTGTAAAGAGAAATGATTTTTAGACTGTGCTGGTCTCTTGGCTGTCACGCTTTGGGAGTGAAAGTGAGACTATGCTGAGTGTTTCCGAGATTGGAAGAAGTGAAGACAGAAAGAAGCATCTAAAATATTTCAAAACTGGAAGTCAACTTTTAATTGTGTCAACCACGAACCATCATTTGATACACAGATAGCCAAGCTTTCACCAGTTTTTAAAGAATGAAACTCACCCACTGCTATTGTGTGTTTTTGCTCCCCAGCTCTTCCAGCAAACCCAGTCCTGTTAATTTCTGGCCTACATCAGATGACACTGACTTTCTTCTGGATAACAAGGTAAGTCTCTTTCGTAATGTTAATTTTCTTCCTCTTAGTTTTGCACTGTATTGCCCTTAGTCTTCAAATTTAACAGTGGTGTAGCTACCATAAATTTATATGGAACATTGATCAGGGAAGATCACTTTGGAGAACTATGCCTAGTTAAAAAGAATTTCCACCCCTTTGGTAAATAACTGGTACATATTTTGAAGTACTTGAGACTGAAAATAATAATGGGTTAGAAAACACACAGTGACAGGAAAATTGTATCTGTCAAACCTTTGCCATGATGGCGGAAATACAAAATTTGGTCAAGGATCATTTGGATAAGTGGACCTTGCCATGGCTTGAAAATCTTACTACCAAGACCTTCATAGCACTCATACCTATATAAATCTTTTATGGATCTTATCAGTCCTACAATAAACAGGGAAGTTTGGTGCCTTCATTTGAACAACTTATAGTGTATAAAACATTTTTTTCCTTTAAATAATCTTTATTTTGCTATCATCAGTTTTTATGAGAGCTCTTCTATTTCTGTTATTGGTTCTGTTGTTAGACCAGAATAATACTGGAAACTGTGACAACTTAGAAATTTAAAATGTGTTTCATCAGGGATGTATGACTATGGAATTACAGGATCTTCATTGTTATTGTTTTGTTTTTTTTGTTTCTGGAAGGTGATCACAGGGCCTGTGCAGGAAGCTGTATCCCTTGCCCTCTTTTTTTAGTTAATTGAATTTGTTTTTGAGTCCAGTCTGGAATTTGGGATGTTTAGCCTCACCTCCAGTGCTGGATTGAATGTATACTACACCTTCCCGCACTGTGTTTTCTATGTGATTCCTCCATAAAGGGGATACCACTTTTAAAACATTTTATCTTATAGAAGACTACCTGTTTTCAAAATAATAAGCAGAGGTAGAACTAGATGGTCTACAAAGCAAGTGGTAATGATGTAAGTAATTGTAAGCATTATAGCTTTAAAAATATACAGTGGTAGTCTCTGTATCTCATTCTGACATTTCAAGTTTCACAAGTTTTTGTACTTCCAAAAATTCATTTAAAACTGCACAGTACAATGAGATTCTGGAGATTAGAAAGATTTTTGTGTGAATTCTGAAGACCTGCAGTAAAGTGTTTGGTATTAAGAAGCATTTTAATATCATTTGAATGCCAATAAATGGATTTCTACCTAGTAGAATTTTTCAGGTAATGTGTGCATAATTTATGTAATAAATAAGTGCATTCAGTTTGCCCTAAAATGTATACTGTGCTTAGGATATATATTTTCAGGTGACTGATGTTTAATGTTTTGTCAAATAAGAAAACAAATCAGAGGAATGAAAGACACAATACATTCTAGTATCCTTTAACTCTGAACATAGGTTAGAATGTCATCTTAAAATTTCTTATGCTTTTCTTTTAGTCAGCTCCATGTTTATTAGGTGCATCTTTTCAAAGTGTAATTTTTCCATAGAATCGTGATTAGCAGTGGTTTCTCTGAATGGAAAATTGTGGAAATTATTGTGTTTCCTTTCTCTCTACCAGAAATGCTTCAGTTCTCAGGTAGTAGTAAATATCGCACAACCTTTCTTCCATTTGTATCTGTCATTGCATATGGCAATAAATAGAAAACTAGAAGTATTGGCATATGCCATTTATTGGGGGAATAGGAATTTTCAAATAAGGCCTTACATTTCTCCCTCACGTTGTAGTAGCATTTAAAAATACCTCTTTCTGTAAATCATCACCATTTCTCTTCTACAATTTACAATGTGTTTCCCTTTATGAGAATGGACCTGGTTATATTCACCAGTTGGATTTCTGACTCCTGGCTTCAGGGACCATCCCGCCTGAGCTGCCCTATAAGCACAGACCACAGGTGCACATCAGCAGGCCTGGATTTCATTAAATCCTGGAAGATTTTTCTTTGAACAGGAATCTTTCGCAAAATCTTCAGTGGGTATCTTAGTATTAAATCTTATGATTAAATTTTAAAATTCACATTTGCGTACTGTCTCAGAAGTTAGTATTTGGATATATCAGTTAAAGTTTGTTTATAGCTTCAACAAAAATGTTAATGTATATAATTGAAAAATGGCATCTCCTGTAATTCCCCCCTCATGATTTCATCTGATGAATTTCAGAACTGTGCATAGGTTAGCATTACTACCTCAGTTTTCTGTATTCCACAAATACTTACTTACCTTTTGAGCCAATATCATTTCCTGAGTGAGGTCATCATCTCCCCTCCTCCAAATGTGTCTCCTCCATCCCAGGCCTCCAGTTAGATGTATTTCCTGCAGGCCTTGACTGTGGTCTTTCTGTGACGATATTGGATGGCACCAGATCTCTGAAGCTGAGAATTCCTGGCCCCAGCTACCCTTCTGGTGACTATCAAATTTTCTTACTTCCTACATTCTGAAAACTATTTTTCATTTCTGGACTCATTTTCTCACTCATCATTTAAAAACAATATTCTTTGATGCTGTGCTTCCCATTATTCTCTGGCATCGATCTTACAATATCAGAGAATCTACAGATTTGCATTTCACAAGGGAAGTTCCCATTCCAGCCTGAAATTAGTGTGATGCTCCTGTTCACCTGTCTGTGCCCTTCCAGGAACTGTATTCCAGCTGTGTCACATTCCTCGGGCAGCCCTCTTTTGCTGTATTGTTTCATGCCCCATCCTTTTGTTTCTGGTGTCCTTTCTTGAATGCCCTTGACACCCTTCCTGGGTGCTTTCTCACCTGTTCACAAGAAATGGCTTTTCCTGAGCTTTCCAGATAGAACTGATTGTATTTGCTTTAGAAGCCTGTCTTTGGACCCCATTTGTAGAATGAATGAAATGCATTTCACTGTTTTCATGTATCTGCGTCTGCTTCCATGCAAGCAGAATGTGCTTTTAGGTGCGATGTTCTTTGTACTCAGCGTGGCTCTCTGAATTTTCTTAGCTGGCCAATTATTTGAACAGTGACATGGCTTTTGTGATTAGAAATGGTTAATGGTGAATGATAGCAAGTATATTTATAAGAATTTGTTTATTCAGGGAAGGGAACCAAGGCAATGAAGAAATGATAACATATGTAGCAGTTCCCCAAAACAAATGTAATTGTTATATATCACAAACATACTCTCTTAAAAACTTCTTCATTTAAATCTGTGTATTTCAATGTTCCATTCGTTGGAGAGTGCAGAGTACTTTGTCTCCTCCGACATTAGGATGAAATATGTTTATCAGCTAGAATTTTGTCTCTGAATCCCTCCTGTGGCTTTCCATGCCTGCTTTACAAAGTCAGCATCCATGTGGAGACCGAAGCTGGGCTTGTCATAAGGCTCTCATTGGAGACATTTTGGTCCTCAGTACATGATTCCCATTATTAAACCTGCCTGCCTTAAGATGGTAAAAATCAGATAACTTCTTGGGAAATGAGTAGGTAATGATTGTGCAACTCATTACTGCTATACAAATTTTCTCAGACTATCTCTGTGAATTTTCCACAGAAGCCTGTCGATCCTTTTTCTGGGAAAGCAGATGATGGAGGAAAACAGGCAGGAAATAGAAAAACAAAAGGTAAGAAATATGTATAAATGTGTGATATTTTAAGAAAGTCATTTGACAGCATGTTTATTTCACAGTGGAGCATGGCTGAGTTCTGAATCCCCCAAAACTACTTATTAATGGCAAAGTAAGAAAAAAGAGAAGTAACACAGCAATAAGTTTCATGTACCCTGACGTATCAGCCACAGGCAAATTTGAGAGTCACTGAAGGAGCTACCTTCTTAGCTCCATTTCAAGGCATTCTAATGCCTGAGGGATGTTAGAAAATTAAGAGGAGAGGAGGGAGTGAGGGAAAAGAGAGAGCCATAATACAGGGAGTAAACAAAGATAAGAGAAAGTATGGGTGTGGGAAAATGAAGTAATCATTTAGAAAAAGGAAGAGCAATTAGGAAGAAGTATAGGAATTATATCAATTGAGCACCGAGTAACAAAACTTGCAGAGAGGTTGAGCAGAAGTTTTCCTCTTTTCCCGTCTTCTCACGATTGGAAAGGTATTGAGGATTGAAGTAGTGAATTACACAGAGCTCTACTTCATTTACTACAGATCAAAGTAAACGAGCGTTGTTCGCTGTACGTGTAGTTTCACTGGTACCTTGGTTCATGCTCTTACTTCTTCCCGCAATGCTGGTTGCAGAGTTCCATTTAAAAGTTTACCACTTAAAAACGTTGCTATTTCAGCAAGTAGTACATCCAGAATGCGACAGTCAAAAACTAGAAAGAAAGGAATGATTAGTCATTGAGTTCAGGAAAGTCATAGTCTCAGTTAAAAGTCCATTAGAACGTGGATGACCTGTTATGCATTTTCAATTTAGTTGACAGGATGAGGAGGAAGTTGGTGCTAGATTCCAAAAATGGAAGGAAGGGAAGGGAAGTGGATTTGGAAGTGATTAGGTTTGTGGCCTGGAGCTTTAGTTATGAAATGAAGCCCCTGTGGGGGAACGTGTTACACCACACATCTGAGTCAGCAGGACTAAGGTGGTGTGTTTCTAAGAAGGTCTCCAGGGATGCTGATGTCACTCATCCTCAGACCACTGAAGATGGGCCAGTATCAAGTTCCCTGTAGAGAAATCTGGACGAGAGTCATTGGATAAGAACTAGTTCAAGACGTAACAAGGTCAAGGGAGAACTATTTCGTGCCTGTTTTCCTGTTTGTATTTCTGAAAATAGTTCTAGTCACAGGGGAGAGAGTAAAGCAATGAACAGAGAAGAAATAGAAGTTGTAATTCTAAGATATTACTGCCATTTCTGCCAACTAAAGAAAGTAGTGGTAGGAATAATCCACAAAAAGCCATAAATGGAAACACTCAAGACCATAGAACTAGGTCAGTTTGGAAGGGAACAGGGATTTATTAGGGGAGGAGGATAGGGAAGAACAAAGCTAGACAGTAACTTTGGAATGAATGATGCAAACTGAGAGGACTCCCTCCCCACAGCTTTAGTGTATGTGTTTGCAAGTGACAGAGTAGACTGTGGCTGTTCAGGGATGATTCAGAGCAGGGAGGAGTGCTAGCCTTGGCTTACACTGCAGGTACTTTCCTCCTTTCCCGCCTAGTCATCAGGCATCAGAGCTTTCTGTTAAATTGATAATTATTCACATGAGATTAGCTTGCACATAGAAGCACTGACTCCTTTTAAGATAAGTTTTGATAAAATAGCTTTTTCACACAAATCCTTTAAAAATGAACAAAGAGACATTGTTCAGTTCATTCCTTGAATGCCAAAATTGTTACCTGTTAGTAAATATTGTGCTGATTTTAAATGTAAAAGTTTCCTAGTATCTAACAATTCCCTGACTATTCAGCTTTTTGAATTTTGATAACTATTTCAATATTGAAAACTGATGTAGCATTATGTCTCAGATATGGTTTATGTTCCATTCATGAGCGATTCAACAAATTTCAAGATGTGGCCAAACTAGTTTTGAGGATATAAGAAATGTAGGCATAGCCATGGCCCACAAGGACATAGAAAACATGACTGGGTTTATTAATCATTATGCTGAACATGTATGGCTGTTTTGTGAGAACACAAAGTTTAAACTCCTCTTGATGATGACCAAACTTATGTACCAGTTGCAGTGCAGGAGAAATGCAAAACCACAGATACTTGGAGTGCAATGGTGTACAAATGGGTGATGTACTATGTTCGATTTATATGCTATTCCCCTCTCCTGTCAGCTCTGACACTCAGCCTCTCAGGGTCATGACTTGCTAAGATTACTTTTTCTCTGCAGTCAGCATGTAAAGCTCACTTCCTGTTTTAGTTATGGTCATTGCAAGTATAATGTCACATTGGAAATCATGGTTGATGTATATTCTAGTTTTTCTGTCATATTGTTCTGAGCAATGGGGAATGTTGTGTGTGTTTATAGTAAAACAGAAAATTTAAATTTATTGCATCAAATTCATTGTATTGGTACATTTTAGATACCCATAAGGATCCCCTTCATTAGAGGGAGATTCTACCTCTGTATGATACTTCTTGATTCTTTTTTCTCCAATCTCTTCTCCCTTAAAGGTCTCCCCTTAACCTATTTATTTACAAAAGCTTTTTTTCTATTTTGTTCTCTCTGTTCTTTTTTTCTTTTCCTTTACTTCTTCTCCCTCTTACCCTCCCACCCTGTTCCCATTCCTATTGGAATACTTTCCAGTGTCTTTGTACAGTTTTGTTCTCATTTACACTTTTCAGTTTCTCTCACTAGAAAAACTACGATGTTGAAATGTGTGTGTTAGATTCATTTTATTTAAGAAATGGAGACTTTCCCCCCTTTCTTTCCATTGGCTTTGCCCCTTCTTTAGTTCCCCTCTCCTTTGAACAATTTTGCCCTGCTTCACAATACCTTTTTCACTATTTGCTCTTTATTTACACATTTGATATCTAATAACAATGAAATAAAATTCACAGTCCTAAAGACTTAACAATCAATAGTCCTGGAAATTAAAGGTAAATCAGGATAATACTATTAAGTTAAAACAGAAGAATGAGAGATGATGGTGCGAATGAAAGTCAGCTGAGTGAGTGGCCAGCACAGATGCTATGGAGCACAGTAAGGCTGAGGCATTATTGTACTGTGGGGCAGAGAAACACAGGAGACTGCTTCTGAGGAATGGATTTGTACAATCGGTATCTGTGTAGTATCGTTACATCCTAATAAATCAAACTTTATATTTAGATTCCCACTTATGTTTGCATCAGACTAATAAGACTTTTGAGAGATCATAGAATTTGAAGTCTGTTGATATATGTCCCCTTGCAACACCCTCAGTGATGCAGATTCTATCCCTCTTCCTGGAATCTAGTGAGTCAACCACAATGGGTAAATACTGATGAATATTGGAGCTGTGTTTCTGTTGGGCAGTCGTACTCACCTTGTTGCATGATTCATGCCAACCAGAAAACAGCATAAGGGAAGTAATAAAGTAGCACAGTTAATTCAACTTGTAGCACCTGTGCGTGGTTTTCTACTATAGTAATTATGCTTTTTCAGAAATCTTTTGGTGGTAGAATCTGCTGTGTGTTTTACACCTCCAATGCAGCTGCCAACCAAACAGTGTCTATCCACAAGGCAGTCATGGTCTTTGTCTTACCAAAGCATGGTAAAAATTATGAAGATCAGAAGGAAGACTAATTTTATTTAGGCGAGTGTTTAGCATACATTTGAGAGAGAGTGTCAATAGTCTTAGAGCTTCTGGGTGGAAGGAAAGACTAGGGAGAGATCTACAGATTGCTACTCAGATGCAACTTCTTTCTTTTAGCACTAATTACTCTGAATTCACAAGAATTATGTGTTTGTCACTATGTGCAGGACATATCACCAAAGATGCTTCCAAAACCACATATTAATGATTTCTTACAATTTCTTTCAGTTTATATGGATTGATTCTCACTGGATCAGTGGAAATCACTGAGAATTTACTGGGCAGCTTCTCCTTAGACATGTCCCCAACTTTCACAAAAAATGGTTGTGTAACTGTCCCTGGAAATTGATGGAAAAACGAGGTGCTTCCAGGATAAAGAGGAACTGGGGGAATTTGCAACCACCAATTCAACCCTACAGAAAGTATTGCAGGATATTCTAAAAAAAGAAAAATACAAAGAACCCAGAAATAGTGGCGGGGAGGCCACAACGAATGGAGCAGAGAACAAAATGAAGAAGACAAACTGACAGCTACTGACAGAAAAAGAGCTCAACAGAAATGAGACAGAGAAGATTGGATGATAGGAACAGCTATTTTGGAGAAAATGACATCTTAACAGGTAATACTGATTTAGTATCATGTTTTTGAAGTCTCATCAAACTTTTGTTCTTCTGTCTCCAATGGTCTAAACAGGTTGTATCTTACTGGATTTTATTATGTACGATAGTATAAGCAAAAACCTTTTAAAGACAAGGAGATTATACAGAAACCATTGTTCATTTTCTGTTAGTCGATTCTAAATACTCTGTAATGCTGTCATTCTCTTAAATGGTTTTACATTGTTTTGATATACTTAATGCTACAGTATACGAAGTTGTACTCAAGGACTTCAAGGAAAGAGTCAATATGGTAACTACTTTTGGGTCGGAATTATCTGGTGGTGAAACACTATTCTGCTTAAATGGTTATGTTTTGATCTGCGCTGTTTCGCTGTTATGCCCTCTTTTTTCTCAATCTCCACTCCATTATTTACTTTTTTATTTTTATCCGTTTAATTAAAGGGGAAAAAATAGCAGGATATAATATAGTAACCCACTTTGACTTTCTATTATCTCGATTTGAAGCCCTGTAATACTCTCACCATCTTGTTTTTGACTGATGTTCCTCTATTCTGTTTTGCTGGATAGTATCAGGTTCGAAAGTTTAGGCATCAGCTGTGAAGATTATGAGATTCATTATAACGCCCATTCTCGTTGACTTTTATCTACTTTTGAAGACCTACAATGTCTCCAATGTTTTGGTTTTGTCGGTTTTGTTCTTTACTGTTTTGTTCAATTGTATTATAACTAATGATATAGGCAATTCTATTAGAGATAGCGGGAGGCATTATGGTAACCATTGTTGATCACCTTGTATTATGTTTTTATATTATCTATTATGTCCACCCTTTTGACTTGACCGATTCTGTTTTGTTATGTCTCATTTGGTTTTACTCTCTTCCAAAAAAGCAATAAGAACCATGGGAGCAATGAAACCCAAAATGTGTAATAGTCATTGTACAAAAGAGAGGAAAAGAAAGTGCTCTAAACTATATAACTGCATGTATATTTAAGTGTATAAGATAGAAAATGATATCACAGAGTTTTATTGGATCATTGAACAGAAGTGTTTGCAGTATCATTGTTGGAATGTCCACTCTACAAGCTTTAATTTTGTGACTTGAACAATTATTTCTAAGATGGCAATATGTAATCCATTAACTAATGATTTCCTACTGTTCATTTTTTTCGTCTGTAAATCTGTATAACTTGTACCCTTTCACTGTTTTTTTTTCTTTTCTTCTTAAATAAAAAAAATTTAAAAATTTAAAAAAAAAAATCTGAGCTACTTGGAGGTCACGCAGCACCACTGAGTTGGAAGCACAGTGCATATTGTTTGCATATGTATGGCCACAGCCTAAGAAGGTGGGTTCCCTTCCTAGTCAGTGAGTTCATCACAGTACAGGCAGCACAGGTTTTGGGTGCTAATAACAGGAGGTATAGGGACTGGGGATTTAGCTCAGCGGCATAAGCACCTGCCTTGCAAGCAGGCGGTCGTGAGTTCGATCCCTAGTACCGATAAAAATGAAAAGAGACAAAAAAAAATATTAAAAAAAAAAGAAAGAAAAAGAACAGGAGGTATGAGGCTAGGGGGCAGGTCTTAGAGCTATCTAAGAGCAGGTACTTGCCAGGTCAGGCAAGGACAGCATCCCAGTCCTGGCCAGCCCTCCAGGAGCCCACCTCTGGTCCCATCAGCAAATCTGGTTTCCACCAGAAGGTAGCCAACAGGGAGGGAGGAAGTGACTGGGCCTGGTGAGAGGCCAAAGTACGATAGAAAAAATACAGAAACCAGACAAGGAAAGCTGTAATGTTAAAATTGTACATTTTAGGAAAACCACAGCTTCGGGACACAAAATTTATTCAAGCTTTTTTTCCTAACTGGCAAAAATTTTAAGATCCTTATAGAGGCTAAGCCTGTAAACATGGCTCTGGGCCTCAGCTTTCACCTGTACCACAGCTCCTTCCCTTTGATACAGAATAAATATAATTCCTGACTTGTTAGAAATGTGCTGAATTTGTGGACCATCTGGAAATGAAGTCATAAGCCACAGGAAGAAGTTAGGAGAGGGGATCCAGCACAGCTGAATAAAGAAGGAGCCACATTGGCGCTACTCAGAAAAAATCAACTAAAAACACAAGGTAATTGGAAGAAAAGGAGAGACATGTCCTGATGTCAGAATCAATCTTAAGTAGACTTGGAGATCAAAGGACTTTATAAAAGGATTATTAAGCCCACCAGGCTACCCATGTGTCTGTTACCTGCACAGAGCAGGAATCCGCGTTCCTGGAAAGCCCCCCCCCCAAATAAAAAAAAACGGGTAGACTACAATTCTGTGGCAAACACAATTCACACAAGATAGATCTGGGTTATATAGATGGCCCTTACCTATTTTGCTTTCCTGCAAACAGAGGGCAGTACAACCTGGCAACAAATTTTGCCAGCACACACAGGGGCAAGTGACCGGGAAATTGCTCCCTCTTTGACAGGCTGCTGGTTTCTCTTTTTGTTTTGTATTTGTCATGCACCCTAGCAGCTAACTGGAACCCGTAGGAACAACAAGGTTAGGGGCCTCGGCAATGGCAGAGAGAGTAGCGAGTGGAATAGCAAGACTCTTCCTGCCCAATGACCAATGCAGGAGATGGACACAGATTGCAGACACGGTATTCAAGCAATCTTGGGTCCAGAAAACAGTACGCCCCCTACCCTGTGACCAGCGGCCCTCAACACGGAGGGATACAGAGTGGAAAGTCACCACTGCCACCCAACCCGCAACCAGTTGCATGAGCAGCCTCAAGAGGAAAAAGAAAAGGAGTGGGAAGTTGGCATCCTCCCCCCACGACCAGCATGTGAGATGCCGCAGTTTAGAACAGAGGAGGCTGTTTAAGGTCCGGGAAGGGCCACTGTACACGGGACTGGGAGCAGTCTCGGGCTGTCTCTGGCTCGAGTGCCTCAGCAACTGTGAAAGCGATGCTGAGACAAACAGAAAACAGGGACAAACCACCCAAAAAGCTGCTAGGGAGTGAATTGAGTAAATCATTGGACGAGTCACAGTGAGTCAGTCAGTCATGACGACCAGAGTCACGAGACAATCGAACGAGGAAAAGTATCCGGTGTTGCCACCGTGTGGTCGTAGCCCCCCCCCACGAAGCTGGTGATCGATTGATTCTGCCTAGACTGCCCTCAAAGGGGCGGATGGATCCTCAATTCGCAGTTCTTTAGAAGCTAAAGACAGCGCCTGACCGCCCGCCCTCCTGCTTGTACTGGCCCGACCCTTCCAAAAAAGAAATAAAAATGACCACCTAATTAACTAAGTGAATCACTGGTGTGCACTGAGTCAGTAAGTAGCAGCGCGGTGAACAGTTAGGTCTGAGAGAGCAATGGGAAAACGTGAAGTGTCCTGGGCCTGCGAGCCTCGAGGTTTGCTGTGCGATTGCATGAACCAGAGACGAAAAATAAAAAGCTTAAAAATACGAAATGCTAAGCAGGCGGTCATGAGTTCGATCCCCGGTACCGATAAAAAAAAAAAAATACGAAATGTTGTTATAAAAATATAGGTGGAAAGAGGAATAAATAAGTAGACGTTGATATAGATGGATGTAGAGTTAGAGAAATACATAGATACGCCTATGAGTGTCGGTCCTGCCTGCCATCCCCGGCGTTCGCTGTGTGGTCGCATGACGCAGGATGAGACAGAAAGACTGAAAGTACAGAAGTTTTTCACAGGAATAAGAGATGGTTATCGATACACTTAGACAGACAGGATTGTGTCTGGAGCCTGCGTGCTGTGACGTTTGCCGTTCGATTGCAAAAATTTAAAAACACGGGGGGAAAAAAATGGAAATCCAGAATGTTGACGATATCAATCAGACTGCGTATGTCGGGCCTGCGAGCGGTGACGTTTGCTGTGGGTTGGATCTCATGAAATCGATCCCTAAGGAAACGTATATAGGGGTGAGGAATGTATGGTGACCTTTGGTAGTCCACAGACGGGATTAGACTGTGAACCTGTGCTTTTCTGTCGGTGCCAGTTCTCTCGGTCCGTGAACCGCACCCTAGTAAACCCCTAACACCTAAGTAAGTAAGCCAAAGCCTTCATCATGGTGGGGGTCAGGATTACCGCTTTAGTGTTAGGGGACGGGGGCGGCCTGGACGTCGTAGATTACGCGACCGGCCGTAAAGGGCGTCGCAGACCTTTTTTAGGCACGCCAAAAGGAGGCGGGCGGATCCCGCACGGACCTGCTGTGGAGGTCGGTGGATGGATAGATGGAAGGATGGACGGCTGTCAGAGAAGAGCGGTGCGGGCTCCGCCCTATCTAGGGCGGGTGCTGCTTGCACTTTCCTTCGTTCCTGCTCTCCCTCTGCTGCCCGGCTCCCGCAAAAGTGTGGGCGGAGGCTGCCGGCCGCGGAGGAGTGTTCTGTACATGAGATAAGTGGTATGAATTTTAGAGATCCAGGAGGGTTAGGGTGAAAAAGCTAATGACCCTCTGCCGAGTTCGGGAAATGGCTTTATGTGTCAAGACGGGAGAGGGGGGGTTCTCTTGTCGATTTGTGTATTTATATATTTATTTAATGTTTGTATTTACTTAGGGGGTTGGCTACAGTACTAGAAAACGCAGAAAATTGAACAGATCTTGGGAGTGGTTTATTGAGAGTTGTTTACTGAGTCACAGACTGTAGTAGGGCTAGGAAAAGTGTGTTAGAAGAATGTACTCCATGTTGCCTTTCGGTCACAGGGATGAAATGTAATGCCAGTCTGCAAATGACTGCAGCCTTAGTGTACTTAATTGTGGTCGGAGCCAGGTGTCATTTTTCCCAGGCCCTGCCGCCAGCAGCCCTGCACGCGCGTGTTTTCGATTTCTAGTTTAAACGGCTCCCCAAAGTTCACTGGCAGAGATGATGCTGAGATCGTTTGAGATGATAGATGGCTGTTGAGAAATGATTTTTTTTTTTTACCTTAAACGTGGCTACCTTCTGTAGAGCTTATAAAGTAAATAATCGAGTGAGGGCTTTATTTTTATCTTTAAGGTATATATAAGAAAATCACTGAAATATGTTTCCAGCTTGAGCCTTGATTTCTATGCCCTCAGTGGAAAAGCTTCACCAGCTCCTCTGTCCCACCCACCTTTGGTGCTTTGTAATTGGTAGTTTTGATCATATTGTCTTTTTTTTTTTAATTTCCGAGATTCCTTTACTATCCCAATCCCCACTTTTTAAGAAACTTGCTTCAAGGTAGGCTCTTCTCCCAAATTTATTATTAATTTCAATCCATGACACGTTTTCTTATTTACATCTCCCCTGATTGAGGAAAATGTCTTTTCTCTTGGTTTTTTTTTTTAAGCTTTTTGTTTTTTACTGTTGAGCATTCTTTTTTTTTTAAGTTTTTTTGATAGATGCAGAGGCCTGTAGAACTGATAATTTATGTAACAAAATTATTTGTATCTTCCTACATCTAAGTGAGTTTTTAAGAAACAGCAGAAAAAAAATTAAATTTGAAATGTTCCGTCCACAAGAACAGAATGTCCTTCCGAGCTACACTTATTTCAAACTGTTTTTCTTTAATCCATAATATTGTGGTTATTTACAAAAGACAAAAAAGAAGAAGAAAAAATTCTTTCCACGTTTTTGTGTATACACTCGGTTTGGTTGTTATCAAAACTACCACTTAAAATGGTTCCCTTCCTTCCAGGTTGTGAAGATCTAGGTAGTCATATTAAATACAGCTACTTAGCGACCTATATATGAATCTATAGAATGATGACTTTTTTTTTTTAAGGGGCTCTGAATAGTGTATTCAGCTAGCTTTCTTTTCTTTTTTTTTTTTTTTTTTTTTTTTTTTTTTTGTCTTTTTCCTTTTTATTGGTACCAGGGATCGAACTCACGACTGCCTGCTTGCAAGACAGGCGCTTTATGCCACTGAGCTAAATCCCCAGCTAGGCTTCTTAATGCCAAAGGAGATGTTAGCAGAATATTCCTGATTACTGTGGTTGACTTGACCCTTTTTTTATTCATTGTGAGTGGTGAATGACATGTTTTGTTGAAAATGAGTGCTGTTTTTATGTATCACACCTTTTATTGAAGAGATATGTACTGTTTTTTAAATTTTTTTTTACATTTTTTTTGTCTTTTTCCTTTTATCGGTAGCAGGTTATTTTTTATTTCTTATTTATTTATTTATTGGCAGTTCTGCTACCAGCAGTGCAGTTTCAAAGCAACCCCACGAGGTTTGAAGATG